AAAACCCCAAAACCCCAAAACCCCTTAATAATTATATTGCAATAATTTAAGATGATTATTAAATTAATGCACAATTATCTTTTCGTTTTTAAGGATTTATTGGCAATGCATACTTCAAACATGACTTCCTTTATTTAACGGCTTCTTACTACCTCTAGGAGCATTAGCCCAATAATCTCTTTGCCTATTCTTAGATCTATCATTTTCGAGTGGTTCATAGCCCTATTCTTATTTATTATAGTATTTGAATTGGAAGTAATAAGAAACAGCAGTCATTAGTATAATAGTTGTGAAGAAAAAAATGTACTGCCACTTTATCACATATAGATGATCACTAAAAATGACTATGCAAATTTAGAATGATCCACTTAAACAAATGCCTAAGATCATCAAAATACTAGGGAACTTAATTGATAACCCGCCAAAAACTCCGAATAAAAGTGCAACAATCAAATATTTAAAGTAAAAAGCAATCTCTAAATTTGGAAAAATTTCTGTTCTAAGTGATTCCATCAAGAATGAGAGAGCAATGCCACCTTGAGCACTAATCATAAAATCAGTGGATTATTTTGCTTTTATGGATAATACATAACTTAGTGGTCCTCCTGATAATATTGCTACTGGTAATGAAATCCAGCCTAGCTATATTCTACTGTAATCTTGTTTAATGATAAAAGAAAATGTTATCCACAGCCCCAATAAGAAAAATGTTTGAATAAAGCATAATGCAGCTGATATCTTGTAGTATTCAAGCGAGAATAATACATAGTAACTTCCAGTTAAGAATAAGTAAATCCCAAAGAATACAAAGTAGGTGTCCATAAATTCCCACATTAATCCAAAACTTGAACCTGCACACCCATATCTAGTCCTAATATTAATTACATTTAAGCATGAATCCCTGATAGCCATTCTTTCATCTAGTTTAATACTTGGATAGTCATAGGTATGATCACAATGTAAATTCAACAATAATTAGTAGGGTTTGTTTTCTTCACAGATTTACTTGGGATTCTCGTAGATCACAGACAAACCAAGCGATTTATCTTCTTGATCAATGAAGTCCACAAATGTGTTTTAAAATTAATCTTTGAATATTGATCTGGAATTATCTTCTGTGAAATGAATACAACTATCATCTGGCTTAGTGATATGGCCATAATCTCTTTGCTAATCTCTGCAGACATGTTGAGGGAATTCGCAAAAGTTAAAGTAAAGGTCTCTCCTCCCATTTTAGGTTTCATATGATAGTCTGTAGTCACCTTAGTCTTTTCTAAGCTTTTATAGGTTCCAGAATTGCTGATCTATTTGTACCTTGCAATTTTTATCAAGTACTGTCCTTTCAGTGACTATAAAATTATAGCTGTATTTTTATACCAATGAAATTGAGAAAAGGCAGAATGGCAAAGATTTGTATTTGTATTTTTAACGACATTAATTTAATCAATAAAATAAAATCTAGCATTTAATTTATATCATGTCCTGAGGGGTTTTGGGGTTTTGGGGTTTTGGGG